GAAAAGATCAAAGGAACAAAATAACCAAACAGAACAAAAAACAAAACAAAAAAGAAAGATCAAATAATTGGGACAAATAAAAGACTGACAATTTGCATGAATGAACAACTGAGCAAAATAAAAAAAGATCAAATGAACAACAAAATAAACAAACAATTTGATAAAATTAATAGACTTCAATTTATAAATAATAAAAAAGTCAGTCATACAGGTTGTATCAACAAGAGTGTGAGTAAATGATGACTGAATTTTAATTTTTGCATGAAACACTCCTTTTTAACCTTTAAAAATATAATAAAGTTCACAACGTTTATTGACCTTAAATCTTTAGCTTTGCAGGTGGCATTATTGTAATAAAACACAAAACGAATTGTTCCACATTTGGTCAAAGCAAATGCAGAGTCTGGACTGAGTGTGTGCGTGCGTGCGTGCATGTGTGTGTGTCTGATGATTTTCTCCAGTCGTCACTTTTCCTGCTGTGTCACTCTCTCGGCATATGCCTGGGAACAACGTGCCGTTGCCAAGTTCTGGTTGGCATGGTAACACGTGTTGGATTAAAGTGTTTTGTGCAGATGTAGTTTGTTCTCTGATGGAGCTTATTTACAGTGAAGAGGAACAGAGACACAGTGGCAATAAAAATGATGAGATTTTCCTTCTCCAGGGAAATTGCTGAAATCCCCTGCCTGTTTTGCTCTAATCACATTTAATGTGACTGATCCAGTGTTGTGTGAAACTGTAGAGTCTCCTGCGACAAGCGACTCCTAATTTAACATAGTTAAAGTACATACAGTCACGCTGCCCTTTGGAAAAAGTGCACTATGCAAACTACTTACACAAAGTGCACTGAAGCTGTTCAAGGGGGCAATGTACTGTATGATAAACTAGATCAGATCATCATAATTGGATTATATAATATAATTTAATCAGAAGAGTATTTTTGGTTAAAGAACAAGGGTTTCAAATGAATGGATCTTGATTAGAGTGACAGCATTACACCTGAAAAGATAAATGTACACAAAAAAAACTGGAATATAGAGTTAAAAACAGTGATGAGTGGCAGTGTTTAACAAATTATTTTAATATTAAACCAGACTTTTGTGCAGAGATGAATCATTGAATTGTTTCAGTTTGAATTGATCCATGAATCATTAGAATAAACCAATTCACTAAAATGATTTGGACTTTTTAATGCAATAAAAAAAATCAAGATATTGTGGCCATGAATTTAAATATCAAAAGAATTAATTTAGTTTAATTATGGCCATGACTTAACTAAATGAGAGAACGAATGAATCAATTAATAAGTTGTGGGAACAAATTCTTAATTTGTGGTCATGATATCTAGTTTTTGCATGTCATGCGAGTCTCTGCAATATGACTTTAAAACAACCATTTATATTGTAGTTTTGTCACGCTACACTGCTAGTGCTAATTGGTAGAAAAAGTGTATTGGAAAAGCTGCACCATTTTGAAAACATTAGTCAACTGTGATAATTGATCATTTTAGTAAAAAAAAATCGTTGTTGTTGTGGTACAAAAACAATGATCATAATTTGTTTGACACATAGGCGGAGGGTGAACCAACTTCAGGCTAAGGCTATTAACATGCACATCATAGCCCCGTCTTTTACACTCTAAAAAATGCTGGGTTAAATACAACCCAGTGCTGGGTGAAATATGGACAAACCCAGCAATTGGGTTGTTTTGACCCAGCAGTTGGGTTATATGTTTAACCCAACCTTCTGGGTAGTAACCCAACCGCTGGGTCAAAACAACCCAATTGCTGGGTTTGTCCATATTTGACCCAGCACTGGGTTGTATTTAACCCAGCATTTTTTAGAGTGTAGGCAAGCACCCACTGAATAAAAATAAAACAAAGTAATTGTGACTGTTTATCTCACAATTTTTATTCTCTAGCAATTGTGAGTTTATATCTCGTAGCTAATTCTGACTAATTCTGTCCAATTAACTTTTTTTTTGGTGAAAAAAGGCTATGGTACTGTACCAGATATGGGTGTCATGTCACAAAATATTTTTAATACGACTGAATTTGTATATAACGTGATCATAATTTAATAAAAACATTGTAAGGTACTATTTATAACGCTTTCAGTTCCACAGTTATTCAAACAGCAAATAAATTATATACAAAAAGCAAGCAAAGAACATTTACATTATCAAAGAACATGATGACTGACTTCAGTCTAGCGTGAGTTTAGGCACACTCAAAAACTCCTCCGTTATAATCAATAAAGCTGCCTACAGTGCCAAATGAATCTCTTACCTACTATGTCGTACGTACATTTCCACTTTGAATTCGCGAGAGTTTAGAATTCAGTCTGCATGCGCGTGCTCGACACAACTTGGCATTTCAGCGATGACTCATCTGAACGCCTCTGATTGGCCGTTGCATTCATAAGCTCAACACAATCATGTGTGATTGGATATAATGCAGAATGTTGTAAAAATGCATAATTTGACGCATCTTTAGCAGATCTAAATTTAATGTTGCAGCCACACTTTTCATTTAATTTTCACTTTATTTGTGACATCCTTAATAGGTTTAGTTTAATTGTACGGGGGCATATTTGTCCAATTTGGTGGCATTTTTTCCCCCAACCCCCCTAAGTGAAAATTTATGGGAAGGCTAAGTCTTGCTCAGCCTTACACACACTCCACCTATTGACAGCATCAAACTTGACCATAAAGTAACACTAAATACAACCAGTAAAACTAAAAATGACTGAATTAACATTTACAGTAATGATTTAGATTACAGTAATCTAAATACTGCTGTTTATTATTAAATTAATGTCAATTTCATTATTAGAGTACATATAAAAGAGCAAGTAATATGTGCAGGGACGAGCCCTTACATATTACACCGATCACAGCTAATGATGATATTGAAATCCAGTTTCAGATTGTTCTATTATGTTTCTCAAGGTTAGTAAATAAAGTTTGCAAAGTTTTTTGCACCAGTAAAGGTCTTCGCTGTTTTAATTGATGGACAGACATGAGTTGTTACGAACACTCCTCCTTGATTATACTTACAACAATGATGTGTGTTAAGGAGCGTGGCGAAGGCAAATAGTCACATGACATCAAAAATAACCGCAATGGAAACGAATTTCATCTAGTGGGAATATTTGGTACTGCACCCATTTTTGAGATATCAGCCTTAAATTTGGAGCACAACTTGTTTAGATTTATGGCTTTGATTTTTTTTCACAGTTTTGGAGTAAAAAATACAGAAATAGTATTTTTGTGCAGTTTTCATAATAAACTTCAATGTTTGTAAACTTTTTTGCAGTTTCACTTTAACTTTAATTTGACAAGTGTCTTCTTAAAAAAAGACCAAACTTCAAGCATTCAAGATTTACAACAGTTTCTTTTGGAAATTCTGTTTGCAGGTCTTTGCTCAAAAAGTGGTTAACAGGTAGTAAGTGGTTCATAACTATTCCATACATGCAAATGGGGTAAATAATGTTTTGATTAAAATAAAGTTAACATTGACTGGCCACACATCACGTTTATTACTTATCAGAGCTGTTGAAACCGGAGATTCACTTAACTGCATTAATGTTTTCTCTAACTGTATAGAGATTTTCACTGAGGAAATTAACAAATATCCTGCTCATTTTTCTGACTTTGAAGCATAGCCTGCTGCCACACTCCATGCGATCTCCTAAATATGAGCTACTGATAATGAAAACTGCTCAAACACAGTTTTATCCAGGCTCGGTTCCAGAATTAAATACTGAGGGTGCTTCAGAAATTAGTGAGTGTGCTCTAGCCTCAATGCACATACATTTTCACGTAGATTATATTTTTGTCCTGTCCATTGCTCTTTCAAGTGTGAATCCCACATAAATATGTGGATGTCATTCCCGAAACTTTGCAGTGTGTATGTGACTGGAAAATAAAATTCTGAATGGATAATATATAAAACACACAAAAAGTGCTCTCTTTATAATCATTAAAAAGCTGTCCCTCGTCTCAGTTCATCGCGATCTCATGACGTTTTGTTATAATGAGAGGATTCGCAGCTTGCAAAACTCAGCAATGGACAAAAACTGGTGTTTTGAGTGGAGTGGATTCTAACTTAACGCCTCTGATTGACCGTTGCGTTCAAGAAATCAACAGATATGTCTGTGATTGGCTACACTGCTCAGCGCAGCAAAAAACAAAATGTTAATAGAAATCTTTTGACGCTCTCCTGAGCGCAATCCCAAATATGCACTGGATAGTTTGTCAGATCTGTTTCGCTAATATGATTGCGAATAGAGAATATCTCGAGTTTTTCTGTGCCTATGCATACATATAATTTAATACCGTAAAATCCCCTAAAAGTACAAAATATTAAATAAAAACACATTTGAACTAAGTTACAGTACATTCATTTTATTAAAATAGAAAAAGTCATTCTGACCACCACCAATATTGATTCACCAGAGGGTTAAAACCTCTTCTTGAACTTGAAATACTGCTCTGATTAAATTATGTTATATACTGTACTGTTAATATTACGATCAGATCTAGTTTAACATGTTGTATTGGATATTGTCCCATTAAATAGCTTCAGTGTACTTTGTCCTGACAGTAGGAGCATTTATTTGAGGTATTTTGCGTACTGTATATTCTGTCTGTATCTCTGATGTTGACCTGATATTGTCCCAGCAGTTTTGCTGCGTTTACTACATTGTCAAAAGCGAGAAGGTGGTCTTTGAGGCGGTTTCTCCAGGTGACCCCGCTGACCCCCTGTGGGCTATAATAAGTAACTTCTCCTCTCCGCTGCGAAGCACCAAACCTCGCTGTTATTGATTCTCTCCAGACTTCACAAGCTTTGCCCAAGATGAAGACGAGCCTTCAAACAAAAGGGTGTTTGCAGTCGATATCGATTCTTCCGTGTGTAAGAAAGAGAGCGGGTGAAAATGTGAGTGTCTTTGATGAGCCTAAACAAGAATATTTCCTTCTGTTTTTCTCATGTTCTCTTTCAGAGGAACCGTCGAGGCGCGATTCGTCTACGTTTTTGTCCTCGGTATCTTGTTCACCGGCGTGAAGGACCTGTTGCGCTCGCAGGTGATGCCGTCAGCAGTGGACAGCGGGCGGCTGAAGAGCAGAGGACTGTGGGAAGTGTACAGCGGGGTGGTGTTACTGGTGGCTCTGCTGTTCAGAGCTCATAATTTGCCCACGCTGGCCTGCTGTCTGCTCATCCAGACCGTCATGGCTCAGTTCATCTGGAAGAAGCTGCACTACGATGCCGCCCAGACTACCATCATGCACTACTGGTTCGGCCAGGCTTTCTTCTACTTTCAGGTAATGATGAGAGAACATCTTTAAGAATGGCTTTGTTTAGTGAAGACAATACTGGTCTGGTTTCCTCCATTAATGCATATCGATTAAATAATTGCAGTTTCGTTGTTCTTAGGACGTTTTCACACGTTGGGGTCGATCGCTCGGCCTAAACCCAAGTTTGATTCCATCAAGAGTTGAAATGCTGAATTTATGAATGATTTACATTGAAATCATGAATAAGGCTGATTGTACTTATTTGGCACCGAACCTTGGTATGTTTGCGTTATCATTGTTATAATACCACCATTGAGACTAGTTAATGTTGAAAGCGAAGGCAGCAAAAATGGGAAGCATTTATTGAAATGACATGGTTTCTGTCTGGTTTAACTAACAAAATTGTTCATATGAAGAACTATACTTTTGACTTTCTGCTGCAGTGTTACTATTGTTAACTAAAACTATTAAAAATCATTTTCATTAATTGAAAAAAAGCTAAAATAAAATATAATATAAATATTAAATAGGAAAATATTAAATAAAAACACTAATTAGAAATGTTGCCTTGACCACTAATATAAAAAAAAATATTAGACATCAAAAACTAAAAATATAAATGTCAGACTCTGTTCCATGTTGTGTGTGTCCTGCTCCCCATGTGCGACAGAACAGCGGACCCAACAGTAAGCGGCATCCCTTCCCCGTGTTTAATTTCCGTGTTTTTGAGAAGTTTTTGTTTCCTGGTTCCCCCCACCCCCCCGGCGATGGAAATTGCCGCTCGCGTCGCCGCCCTAGCTCGCCTCGATCTCCCCTTCTACTCAAGTCAGCCGGCAGTTAATGTGTCAAGCCCGAAGGACGTTAATGTGGCAAGCCCGAAGGACGTGACTGTGGCAAGCATGACTAAATCACTAAAACTGAAATACTGAAGCTAACTAAAACAAATAAAAATAAATTGAAGATAAATAGAAATTAATAAAAATGACAAAAGCACACAACAAAATGACTAAAACCTAAGCTAGAATTAAAGCTGAAAATATAAAAATTAAAAGCTAATTCAAAATATTAAATAAAATATAAAATAATTATATTATACAATTTTAAATAATATATTGAATATTTCAGTATTAATCATTCCAAAAATATCAATAAATGCTATAGTAGTATATAAATAATACTTCAAGAGACTCAAAGAATGCAGTCTGCTGACTAAAATCTATTCCTTTGTAGACAAGAAAAATGCATTATACAGGATAACACTTCACTTCTGCAAATTAGGCTGGCTTGTGAACAGAATTTGAATCCTACCCTAAACCATATTGATTCCTATGGAAAATGAAACAAACCTGAGTGTGTAAATGCCCTTTAGTCTCATAAACAATGACGACAACAGAATTCTTCCATTCATTTCAGATTTCCATTATAGAATCTTGACTCAGCAAAACGTGCAGGACTTTTCTTTACATATTTCATCAATTCGACCATAAAATCATCAGCTTCTGCTGCTGGAGACCTTTATTTCTAGCCAGCAGGTTTAGTTACAGCCGTGACAGTTTGAATTCTTGGAAAAAAACAATGAAGAGGCTTTCAGAATTAATAAATTCCAGCAACTTCCATTGCAACCAGTTGATGGTTGTGAAAATAAATAAAATATGCATGTTAGGGCAACCAAAGACCCAATTATGAATGGTTTCATTCCAACTCTAGCTAGTCGGTTGCTTTGCGAAGGGGGCAAGACTTATTCTAGACAGCATTTGATTGGACTCAAATATGTACAGTGCAGTTTACACTACTCATCAAATTTTGAATAATTAAGATTTTTTTATGTTTTTAAAAAAGTCTCTTCTGCTCAGAAAGGCATAATTTATTTAATCAAAAATACAGTAAAACTGTAATATTGTGAAATATTATAATTCAAACGGTTTTCTGTTTATAAATATTTTTCAAGTGTAATTTATTCCTGTGATACAAAGCTGAATTTTCAGCATCATTACTCCAGTCTTCAGTGTCATATGATCCTTCAGAAATCATTCTAACATGCTGATTTGCTACTCAATTATTATTATTATTATTATTATTATTGATGATCAATTATTAATATTTGATGTTGAATGTTTGTCAGTGTTTAAATACCATAATGCATTTTTTCAGGATTATGTTATTAATAGAAAGTTCAAAAGAACTGCATTTATTTGAAATAGAAATATTCTGTAACACTTTAAATGTCTTTAATGTTTTTTTTTTTTTTTACTTAATTTATTTTTCTTTGTTTTACTGACCCAAAACTTCTGAATGGCAGTCTATCACAGTTTCCACATAAATATTAAGCAGCAAAAACTGTTTTTAACTTTGATAATAATACGACATCACAGAAATAAATTACATTTTAAAATATCAAAAAGGATTTATTTTAAATTGTAATATTTCATAGTTTTACTGTTTTTACTTCATTTTTTCATCAGATAAATGTAGCTTTGGTGAGCATAAGAGACTTCTTTTAAAAACATTACATATTTTTAATTATTCCAAACTTTTGTCCTTTAGTATAAATGATCTCAAAACTGACAGACATGGAATAAAAGTCGCAAAACTTTTTTCCCAGCTGATGACAGACAGATGGACTGTTTATAAACCTGATCAAAAGAATCGGTTTTATAATGAGACATCGAGAGTAAATCAAATCAGAGCTGAGTTGAGGTGTGTGTGTGTGTGTGTGTAAGTGAGGGTCATAAATGATGCTTTACTGGCCAATTATCATTTAAAGCACCCGAGCATGGAATTATGGGCTTGACAATGACATCATCATCATCGAGGGACAGTCAGGGTCAATGCAACTGAACTGTCAAAGGACGGATATATTCTTCTCTCTCTAGTCATTAAGCAGGGTGGAGGTGATTGTTAATTGTAAATTGTCACATTGATTAAGCTCATTTTGTCAGGCTAGGCCCTTTTCCCGCCCACCCTGACACTGCAAACTAGCATGAAATAATGGGAGTAAGAGGGGCAAGAGGAGAGCGATTGAGGAGGAGGATTTTCCGGAGTGACAGATACAGCCTCCTGTGAGCCCCTGACAGTAAAGAGCAGGATCTGTTCGTTTGTTTCCCCTCTTCCTCGACCCTCAGACTCGAGTCTGTCAGCGGAGACTAGAAACACAGCGCTTCTCTCACCTCACCTGAATAACTGCAGGGCACCTCAAGCCTCTGCTGCATCACTTTACTACTGTATATCAGCCGTTTCCAAACTTTCTTTGTCAGGGCAACCCCTTAGATGTCAAATATTTACCTGAAGTCCCACCTGAAATTTTAGATTAATATTTTAAATAATTATTATTAATGTACGTGGTTCGCTGAGGTTGGTTGGTTATTGGTCAAATAACATGAAAGTTGTTTTTTTAGTTATTATTTTATTTTAATTTGTTTTTATTTTGAAAATATTTATATATAGGGCTACATGAAAAATTTTTCTTTTTTTTGTTTTTTTGTTTTCATGGATCTCTGATGTTGGTTGATTGTTAAATTACATGTAATGACATGCTTTTTTAGTTAGTGTTTTATTTATGTTTTATATTAAGGTTATTTATATAGGGCTGCATGTATATAGGGCTTAATAATAATAATAATAATAATAATAATAATAATAGTAGTAGTAGTAGTAGCAGTATTTTAACCCTTAAAATTGAAGATATAAATATACTACTGTTGTAAATTATCCTGTGAAATAAAAAAAAGAGTATTTGATAATTATAATAATTTATTTTAAACTGGAATGTGTACAATACTAATATTTAAGATATTTACATCTTAAATTCTTCACTTTCAAACGTTCAAATCCTCAAGCTTTTATTTTGGTGGAATACTGTTGAAATGCTGTAAACTTCTATCCATAGAAATGTAGGAAATTATGCAAATGTAAACGTGGTGCACATTGCGTTCCCAAAATGAAACACAGCCCAAAAGCTATATACGTATTTAATCAAATCTGCCTATGATTTTATAATCGCACTATGCTATGTTGAAATTTCATTTTTATGGAGATTCTATAATGCATCCACATTTATTTATTTTAATTTAACATTCGATTATTATTCTTTTATCAACTCAAGAACCCCTATTTAGCATATATTTACAGTTAAGGGGTTTTCAAACCCCCTAGCACAAAGTATTAAAGGAGTTAAGTCAAAAATATTAATTCCCCTCACTCTCATGTTATTCCAGACAGCCATGGCACATTCATTTTTGGGGTCTTTATAAAATGTCAGAATGTATGTTAACCTGTGTGTGTTGATGTTTTATGGTCTCTTCAGGGAAACTCTAATAACATCGGGACGGTGGACATCTCTGTGGGTTTTGTGGGTCTGGAGAGTTATGTGGAAGCACCTGCCATTTTCCTGACGGCACTGAGCACCTACGCAGGACCGCTGCTCTGGGCCTGTCATCTGCTGTGCTTCCTCAGTTCACAGAGAGACAGGTAACACACACACAAACACACACACACACACAAACAAGCTCATGTTGTAGGACTGGAGTTATATGATCTTATAGTATTCTGATAGAGTATATACCAGGAATATATTACATTTATAATATATTCACAAAGAAAACTGTTTTAAATTTAAATTTCATTTTAAATGTAAAAATATTTCACAATATTTCTGTATTTTTTATCAAATAAACGCACTCTTGGTGAGCGTTAGATAGAGACTTCTTTCTAAAACATTAAAAATTCAAATGTTTGAACTGCAGTGTATTACGTGTTGTTTAGTAGATGCTTGTGTTTACAGCATTCAGTGTGTTTTATTAGGAATCGAAAGCCGTGACCTCGGCATTGCTAGTGTCAAGGTTAGTACTTTACCTGAGCTACAGGAACAGAACCACTGCAGAAAACGCTAGAGGACTGTCTGAATGGAGCCTGTACGCTAAGTGTTTCGAGCTGAATGCTGCCTTACAAACACAGTAATCATACTGAACATGGTCGACTTCCAAACAGGCCTTTTGAGCTCTTGAGTAGATGGTCTCTAATTAAATGTGTTCATTTGAACTTCCGGCAAAAGCTAGTCCTGAAGAAACACAAACAACCTGTTATTTTTATCTAGAGTGCTTATCAAAATCCTCATGTACTGGTGACTACAGGTGTCTCGCTTTTGCCTTCCACAGTAGTTTTAGTGAGAGACACTGCATTTATCACACTTATAATATTAGGTTTATAACTATAATAATAGTTAACTAAGGTTTCTTAGTTGTTCATGATTTAGTAACATTGTAAAAAAGGATTTTTCAAAGTTGTAAATTAAACACAGATTATTGGAGTAGGTTATACATGAGCAATATCACATGAGTAGCTGTGCAGTTAGCTCACTCATAAAAATATATATATACAGCCATATTGCATGGCTATGAGGAAAACAATATCTTTGTTGTACTATCATTTAATCTTTTAAGGATGATTTCCGATGACAGCACAGCTCAGTGCATTTGTTGGCTGCGTCTTACAAAGTGTTGTTGAAAATAAAAAAATAACTACCCTGTTTCAGTCTCTTTCAATATAAAAGTCTTAACTGCTGACTCGCTCATAAAAATAGACGTTATCCTTATTAACAAACCGTATATTTGAAGTCTAAACAGGTACATTCTCAGTAGGGCTGGGCGATAAATCGATAACTATAATTATCGCGATATAATTTTCCTTGATAAAACGATATGAAGAGTTCGATAAATGTTCATTATAATGTTTATGCGCCAAAAGCGCCACATGGACCGTTTATCTGCTCGGCTCAAAGTTCAAAACTGCTACGCAGCGCGAGCAGACTAGAGCAGTTTACAAAACAGACTGTTTTAGCCGAAGATCAAACCGTGCCGTCATCAGTTCTTCCGCAGTTTCACACAGCAGAATTGTCCTCTGCTGCTGCAGTTGTACGGATTCTTAACGCATTTATTGCAACTACATTTCATCTTTTTTCATCAAACAAACAGACTAATGAACAGCTCGACACACCTCGTACCGGGGCAGAGCCTAGACAGGGCTTTCTTCTGTGGAGACCAGCAGTTCTTAAAGTGATAGGGGGTCCGCAAAATGATTTGCTATAGCCTACCGTATTTTACAGACTGTAAAGTCCCTTTTTTATCATTATACTTATATGATGCCTTTAACGTCAAATAATCTAAATAAAGCCTTTTAAAAGACAAGTATTCGCTGTGGTTCATGTTTGTGGCATGCGCCGGAAAGATGCTCAAGGAGACCGAGACGCGCTAAAGCAGCGCATTCTGTTGTTCTCTTTATTTTTCAAAGGCATGACTTTTTGTAGTTATTTTGAACGTAACGCTACACATAAAAATATACATTTTACCATACAACTATAAATGACAGAGTATTAAGTTATTTCCCCTCGATGGGAAAAAAAATCCAAGTGAACATCAATCAGTACTCAATATTAATTTAAACTGCATATTTAAACTGCTTTAATGATGACTGCTGCTTATTTTCTGTGCACTTCAATACTGGTCTGCGCTTGACTGTAGCAATCTACAGTCTGCTTATTGAGTTTATTTAACCCATCGCAATTTATTGGAACTGTGTGAACTAGAGTTGTGAACTACTAGCCTTAATGTTGTTCTAAAGGCTTATTACTTTTTTTCAAAACACACACAAAAAAATTTCCTGCTCGCACTTGCTAATTTAATGGCAGAGAATGGTGACTTTAGTTTTTTTTTTTTTGAAGCGGATTCATATCTGTCGTAAAATAATCCTATGCGTCTTGTGGCGTATATTCCAAGCGTTCTGAAGGTATACTGTGGTGAGAAAGAAACCAAGTTTTTACATTTTATGAAAATCTTGCATTGCAGTCCTGTGTGCGAGCGCATATCCTTTTGAGATATCAATTAAAATAAATTTTAATAAAACACAAGACTACATTATAAAACTCTAAGAGTAGGCTATTTAATATCTGTTGTTGTCCGGTTGTCAGTCAGAATGACAGTTCTTGCGTGTACGTTGTAGGCTAATATATAAGTGTTAGTGTTTAAAATATTTATTTTGAAACAAATTAATTAATTAATTCATTACTTAAACAGACCGACCTACTGGGCGAGCAGGGTAGGCTATGACAGCCGTCATATCATACCCTGCCATGCCCAGCTGATGCAAAGAATAGAATTTATATCTCCACAGAAGAAAGCCCTGTCTTGGCTCTGCCCCAGTACAAGCTATTCATTAGTCTGTTTGTTTGATCTTCAGCTAACCAATCAGCAGAAAGGGGTGTTTAATTCCCGCCTACATGTAGAAATCGAATATTCAAGCTGTTTATTCATTTTTCTATCCCTGAACGAAAAACGAAAAAAAAAAAAACGAAAAAGGAGCCGTTTTTTCTCTCTTTTTTTTTTCTACTTTTAATATTAAATCAAAAAACGAATGAACGAATGATGCACAGATTCAACACAAACCTGTTTCTTGATTTGAAATCACTCATTAGAACATGCAGAAACTAAGAAATATATATATTTTTAAGATGTTTATTTTAAGGAAAATTAAGGAACAACTTTCACTTTGGAGCAAAAATCTGGCTTTAAAGGGTTACTTCACCAAAAAATAAAAATTACCCCATGATTTACTTACCCTCAAGCCATCCCAGATGTATATGACTTTCTTCTTTCAGACGAATACAATCGGAGTTATATTAAAAAACATCCTGGCTCTTCCAAGCTTTATAATGGGAGTGGATGGTAGCCCAAAATTTGAAGTCCAAAAAATTGAACCAATCCATTATAAAAGAAGTCCACACGGCTCCGGGGGGTTAATAAAGGCATTCAGAAGCGTTCGTCACTTCCGCGTTCGTCACCACGTTTGCCTACGTGCTACGTCATCCGCTGTACGCCACTCTCGTGAATGCGTGTATGACAGTTAGCGGAAGTTAGAGATTAAGGTTGTATAAAGTTGTAAATATGGATATTTTTCTTACACAAACGCATCGCGTCACTTCAGAACGCCTTTATTAACCCCCCGGAGCCGTATGGACTTCTTTTATAATGGATTGGTACAATTTTTTGGACTTCAAATTTTGGGCTACCATCCACTCCCATTATAAAGCTTGGAAGAGCCAGGATGTTTTTTTAATATAACTCCGATTGTATTCGTCTGAAAGAAGAATGTCATATACACCTAGGATGGCTTAAGGGTGAGTAAATCATGGAGTAATTTTCATTTTTGGGTGAACTATCCCTTTAAACCTGAAATAAATAAATTATCGGGATCATTTTTGGCCATATCGCCCAGCCCTAATTCTCGGCTAAAAAACTCTTAAAACTACATTCTGTGTCAAAACAGTATTATTTATAAAATGACAGTGGAGTTGGGCGTTCACCATGACACTCGCTATGAGAAATACTGCAAGCAGAGTGATACAAACGGTGAAATTATTTATATTATTTGTATTAATTTTTTTTTAAGAGTAAATCCTACACCAATTTTTCTTTCAGTGTAGTTTATGTCCATTGTCTGACTTGTCACTTACCCTTAGAATTAAACGGGCCTTTCCTGTTGTACCTTTAAGACTTCTATATGTACTGTATATGAATGTAAACTTATAGTTTCGACACTTTTCGACATTCTGATTGGATGAGTCCTAATAGGTTATCATATACAGTATATTTCATGTTTATGACCAGGGTTATTATTGTTGACTACATCTAACATCATTAAAAAAGCTGAACTGAAATACAATATTTAAGAAAAAAACTTATTTTATATTTATATTGAACTTATTTTATCTAATTTTCATTGTTTAATTTGAAGTACTAAAATAGCTAAAACTGAAATTAAAATCTGTAATAGACATTTAAAATAAATGAATAAATAAAAAAAACTTCTAATAATCACAAAGACTGAAACTTTAAAATGAAAATAAAATAAATAAATAAAATTAATAACATTTTTAAAAAATCAAAATATGAATAAAAACTATAATAGCATCTCAATTATACTAAAATATCTGTATATTTTTGCAGCTTTTTGGGAACATTTGTATTGCCATAGTTAGAGTTTTTCTACAAAGTTTGGCAAAGAACATTGTGTTTTACTCAACAATGGCCCCATTATACAGAGCTTTATGCAATAATGCTGCAACAACCTTCCGATGTGACACTTTTTTATTAAAAATACTGCAGTGCAGTAAAAAAGCTTGAAATGACTCATGAGTTATAGGGCAATAACAGCGCTTCTGTAGTTCACTGTAATAGGGACGTCTGTAATCTTTTTTCTCATAGCAAACCTCTTCTTTCATTTTCTTTAGCCTTAGAAATTTGTGCTGCATATTTTCTAAAAAATCTCAACGTTTGTATCACTTTAAAATAGAAGACAGACAAAAAAAAACTGTTTTCAAAGATTCCGGCCACATCCACATATCAGTGATGTGTAATTACAGAGCATTATGGGAATATTAATCAGTGCTAGTCTTCTTAAGATAATTGTTTTAATGG